TTGCTCCCATCCTGACCACAAACACGAAGTGTAGCCCTTCAGATTGGAGAGAAGGGGTTTGCCCACAGTTTGGTACCATGTATACACAGTGACTTGTACATAGCAACACACCTCCAGAAAAACAGGCTTCTGTGTGTCATCATTGACATGACATTACAGATACATACCTGACTTGGGCATGAACTTACTCTTCCTTGGAAGGCACTAGAGGATTTTTGAGACAATGGTCATCTGTGTATGCTGTCAGGACTCCTCTGTGATTTAATTATGAGCCTTGAAGCACATGCTGCAATTCCTGTCCTGCTTCCTGTGGTAGAAACATGGGATGCTTTATCTGTGGTTTTCAGGATGTCATCAGTTGCAGATTTGGTGGCTCACATAGCAGTAATAGGACAGCCCTACCAAGGCTTGTGTGTTTCCATCAGGAGTTGGCTCTCAGTTCGTTCTCCTCTGCTGCTGAGCTCGTTTCCTGCCTGTGTGCAGCTCTGGGCCCCTCTCCCACGCTGTGAGCCAGCGTGCCAGGTACACAGCTGCTGTCCTGCTCTCCCAGCCTCCTGCAGCTGCCCCGGCACCAGGGACCCAGGGCAGGAAGAAAGCTGCAGGCTTCTGGTGCTGCTTGTGCCATACTTTTCCAGACATATGTTGCTCTGTGCAGAGCTGCTACCTACGCTTGGTCTCAAACTGAAAGCAAATCCCTTTCAGCCTTAAGGACTCTGCCTGGGGCTCTCTGTCTGGAAAGGGGCAGAGAGAATGTCAAAAGGACTGAATGAGGTCACTGACTATGTAATAAAAATAAAGCAATCTCCCAGGCATGGGTGAGTGCCAAGCTGGGTTAGGCAGTGTCATCCCTCCTGTCACCAGCCTGCTAGCTCCCACGTGTGAAGGGTGAAGGAATTTTAGAACTTTATTAGCAGGGTTTGTGGCAAAAAAAAAAAAAAAAAAAGGAGCCAGTGGGACACCAGTTTACCTTAAACCCTATAAACATAGGTGTTTATAGCATTTAAATCACTTGGAAAAATAGCTAATTGTCCAAGTATAGTACAGGTAGCAAGACAGAGAGCAAAGCTTTCCTGGGAGGAGTCTGTGCCTGTTTTCCATTAGCAGTCCAGACAAGGGCCAGAGCTGAGAAAAAAGGCATGAGAACAGACTTTCACCATGACCTCACTAGCAAATTTCCCAGCTCTGAGTTCAGCTCTGTTGCATGACTGAACCCATCTATAACAAAGTGAAGAAAACACAACTGGTTCCAGGATACTAGTTGCTTTACTGCTATCTTATTTTTATGGCCCTTGGGCAGAGACAACAGCTTTGGGACATGTTGTAGCTGCTGTATGGATGCTTCATATGTGGCCAGGGGGTCCCACACACTCCAGATGCATCCACATTTTGGTGCATTTTTGTCAGGGTTAATGAATGGTGGGGGAGCTGGGCTCTGTCTGCAGTGTCAGCTGGCATGTCCGTGTGTCTGTTCAGACGTTTCCAGCATCAACAGTCTCTGGTTTTGCTTTTTTTTTTTTTTTTTTTTTTTTTTGACAAATCTTCCAAACAGAAGAAAGAAGACAGGCAAAGGAGAAGCTCCCACAAAGTGAAGAGTAGGCCTGGAAACTTGGGTGCGGTTCTGTGACCCTTCTTTACACAAATTCTGATTTCTGCTCAAACTTAATATAGTGCCTGGGTGAGAAAGGAGCTTGGATGGGGTATCCTCAGCTGCAGTCTCTTGCTTCTTCTGTGGAGTCTGGGGTTTCCTGCCTTTGACAGGAGTGGTTTGAGGTATTCCCTGCTGCTCACCTAATTGTGCTGGCAAAGCAGAAGCAGCTCTGTGTTGTGGCGTGGGAGAGGAAATGAGGTGTAGGGGAGGGTGGGAACCCCTTAAGCCACTGTTGACACCAGAGACTTTACCTTGCGAAACCCCAGTGCTCCTCACGCACGTAGGTGTCGTGGTTGATGACAGAGTGTTGAAAGGGGAGGAGAGGAAGCACCAGGACCTCCACTCCTCCTGGCTGCTTGGGCAGGCAGTGCCTCGCTCTGGTTAGCATGGCTGTGGGCTTGGGAGCAGTCTGTCAGGTTGTGGGATCATGGTCTATGACTATCTGAAAACCACAAGAGCATCTGTTAACTTTTAAAAAACAGAGCCCTGTAGAATTAAGATAAATGAGGGCCTCACAAACTTCATGACAATTGCAGAAGAAATTACAGGCTTAAATATATGTATATAAGCCCAGTCAAGTGGTTTCTGTTTGTTTGGGTTGCAGATGTACGGAAAAAAAAAGGCTTTAGCCTGGCCAAATTGAACTCCCTGTATGGGGAATTCATTTAAGGTCAACGGCCTTATGCCCCAAAGCTGCACATCTGCAATCATTAAGCACATCTGTAGGAAGCTGTCCAGGCAGATGTATCACCCTCCTTCCTACGCTGTCTGCTTTTTGGTTTTGGTATTACTGAAAGCTTCAGTAAGAAACTGTTTTTATGGTGTCAGATGTTACAAGTCTTCTGTGCCAGTTTCCAAGTTGAAGTGTGGGTTTGCATGGCTGGTGTCTTTCCAAGAGGTGGAAGGAGATAATATACCAGGACTGGAAATTCCCTGTGAATACAAGAAGCTGTAAAACCTCCCACAGGGTGATCTGTGACAGTGCAACAGGCTGACAGCCTTGTCTGACTTCTTGGTGAAGCATAAAAAGGCCGTGTGGAGCTGCAGATGCTTTCCCTGATTACTAATGAGAGAAATCCTGACCGCTTGGCTGGTTTTCCTCGTGGGATGAATGCTCAGGGCTGCTGCCGAGGTGGTTTGGGTTTTTTTTTTTTTCCTTTTTTATCCCCCTCCCAGTCTGAATATCTTAATTTGTTTGAAAGTATCCCTCCTCCTGGTAAAACATTAGTTCCAACAGTGCACACTTATCTGGGAAAGGGTCCGAGATCGAGGGCAGATTTGAGAGGGAGCAGTTGAATGCTGAATCCCTGGTGGATCGGCAATGAGGTGGGAGCCACAGCTGGGTAGCCTGTGCTCTGACTATATCACTGTTTATGTAGAGTGGATCAAGACCAGCAGGAGAAGTGGAGACACCCCACGGCAGCTGGCACTGGGGTGGCTGGTTCTGTTTTCTCTGATGTGGGCTGCAGCAGGGCCAGCAGCATGTTTCTAACATCTTGGATGGGTATCTGAGCTGTGGGGGCATTGGCAGCTTTTTCTTTCTTTTAGGGAAGATGAAAGCCCTTTCATTGAAAAATTTGAACTTGTTCCAAATGTGGGATGGGAACATATTTGTGGAGGGGTGAAGCAGATCCACCCAGGCCTGCACCCCATAGTTAGGATGATGAAGAGTGCTGGTCTGCAATTCAGGTCTGTAATGCCAAGCACAGCCCAGCCAGTATGCAGTCCGTGGCCCCATGCAGATGAGTTTATTCACATTTAAAGAGAATTTCAGAGAATTTCCAAGCAAAGCTACCTGACTGTAGCGTACGCCAACCAAAGCAAGACACACACACCACCTGTGCCCTTCTATGCCTGCTGGTATGCATTGCTCTAATGTCAGGAGAGGGTACAAGCTGTACTGGGGTGAGGAGATAGCCACACTGAAAAAACAGGCAAAATGAAGGACTGCTGAGCAAGAGAAAGGCTTAGACAAGCAGGGGACTTTTGTGGGACAACTGTCAAGTAAAGCCGGTTGCTTTGGAGACAATCTCTGTTTTATTTAGAGCTGTAACCGGAGGAGAGCTGACAGCTTCCAAGTCACACTTTTGTCTGGAAAGTTTCTGTGGGATTGTATCTCGTTGGTAGCAAACACTGAGGACTGGTGCAGACTGAAACTGTTTGTGGATGCTGTTCCCACACTCTGCATATTTGATGGCTTTGCATTTGTCTTTCGAATAGGAAGATGGAGATTCACTTACTTTAACACAATTGTAGTTTATTGAAGTGCTTCCTCACAGACTGCTTTGGAAATTTTTAATGTTGATGGTTTTGATTTATTATGTCTTTTCCTGTTCCAGCTTTTTGTTCTGTTTTTTCGTTTGGTTGGTTGTTTATTGTGGCTTGTTATATTTAATAGTTTCTCTTAGGTATTTCATTTTCATGGGTGTATTCTGCTCCTTAGAAATGAAGCACAAATGTAGAAGTTAAATGATGATTTGATTAGAAAAAATAGGTTGCAAATATCAACAATAAAAGGCCCACTAGAGGCATGTGAGATTTTGGGGTTTACTTCTCCTCATATGCCCTGTACATACATCTAAGCTGTGCTGTATTTCCTTCAGTCTGCTAGAGAAGGGGAAAGTTACAGATGTCCTGCAGGTTATACATACAAAATACAGGATCAATGTTTAAGATCGCCATACCGAGCAATTCAATATTGCATTGTAATGCATCATTTTGGATATGGGGCAGTAAAATTTCTGACTTAATCCCTTCTGCAGCACTGTGATAATTCAGTGGCTGAACAGATGAAAAAAAAATCCTAACAGTAATCTTGCAAAACGTGATACTGACAAATTTTCCTTGGTCCACTCACTGGGGCTTACAGACTTAGAAATACAAAACTGCTCTCAAAGCCTTTTGCTTAGCTTGTGTTTATTTCCTCTCTTATCTGTAGAATGTGTCTTTTGGTTTTCTTGGTTTTGGTTTTTTTTTTTCCTTTTTATTTACAGAAAAAAAATGTTATGAATAATGATTCTTGGAAGCAGAAAGTGGGCTGTTTAACTATCACTGCTGGGAATGCTGTGCAGTGAAACTGCGGGTGAGGGAGTAGGTGGTTCTGCTTCTGCTTGTCTTGCAATTCCTACATATGGTCATAAACAGCTGAGTTTGTGTCAGGCGCGCAACTCTGCTTGTAAACTACACCCACCTCAGTTTGGGGTGCACACTTTATCATCAGCTGGCTCAAAAGACATTTCTGGAAGGCATATTTGAGGTTGTTCCATGTCTTTCTGAGGGGCTGCTTCTGGCTGCTAAAGTGTGCAAAAGTGTGGTTTTGTTCATGCTTATTTTCTGTTTACTTTGTTTCTAGGGCTCATCACAATAAAAGAAGCCCATGATATAGAAGCCAGACTTAATGAAGTGGAAAAGCTTCTGAAGACTATTATAAACATGCCCTGGAAGGTGAGTAAGCCAAGTTCCAATTTAGCCCAGCTTGACTCCTCCTCCATGGTGACATGCACTCTCATGCAGATTAGAATGTGATGGGCTTTGCCAAACTCTGAGAGAAGCAGCAATTTAAAGTAAATGCTGAGTGCCAGAACTGTGTAATGATACCTCCAAGCTGTCACTTGTAATAAGTCTTTCTGTCATACTCTGAAGGGGTGGAAATAGAGAAGAGGGACAGAGCAAAATGCTGGTTAAAAATAGATGTCCGTGTTTATTTCTCTCTTTTTAAGTATTCAAGATCTGAAGTTGTCCTCACGTTCTTTGAGAGGTCTCCTTTGGACCAAGTTCTAAAAAATGACAACGTTCATAAAATTCAGCCAAGCTTTCAAAGCCCTGTTAAAATATCAGGTAAGAATTGCTAACTTCCTGAAGTTGATGCAAGAATTGAAGAATGAAAATTACTTCATTTGCTGTTCCCATTATTACTTCTCTATCAACAATTCAAAATGTAGTTCTCAATAGTGCTTTGTGATATAGGACATAGAATTTTCCTTGATAGACTGTACAACATGCATTCAGGCAATAAAGTGGCAGGTGAAATGGGAGGCTGACAAATGCAAAACAGTGAATGTGAGGAAAATGCAGTCCTTACTGCATATCATCACAGTGCTGGTACCACTTAGAAAGGAGATTTTTGAGGCTATTGCAGGATATAATAGAATTTAAAATTATACAAATAAAAGGCAAGGATTCAAGTTGTTGAATAACTTCTCTAGAAAGGGGTTAACTAAAGAAGGACACTTCACCAGTGAGAAGAAATTACAGACTGGTATGATGGAAGTCTATAAAGCTGTGAATGGGAGGTCAGTTACCCTATACTTCTTATGAAACAAGAGCTCTCAATATCATTGACAGACAACAGGCTTTAAACAAAAGAAAGGTTATAATATTGTTTTGTTTCCATTCAAAGCATAGTTATGGAGTGGAACTCACTGTCATAGGATATGGTGAAACTGAAAGCAGAAGTGACTTCAAAAGGGAACTAGACAAGGAAGTGGAGGAAAGGTACATTGAAGTTCCTAAACCACAGATTGCTAGTGGATAAAGTGGAGAGCCTATCCTTGCCTATTCTTTTAGCCTTTCCCCTCTTCATCTGCTACTGACCATTGTCAAAAGGTCTGTGAGCTTCTGATGTGCCTGGGTTTGCATTTCTATACTGAAACACTTTGTTTGACCCTAATGGCAACTCCTGGTTTTGTGTCACCAGAAGAGCTTATTTACAGTTAATTGAAATTAAATACTACATAGTCCTCCAAGTTTTAGAGTGTCTGGCAAGGAACTGGTATCAATTTTCTTTGGTACTAACAAAACTATGTCAGCTGAATAATAACATTTTAATTCTAAGTTATTGTTGGCAGTGATGATTCATACCTAATTAAATAGAGGTAGAGTTTCCTACCTATGCAGTTATCCAAAAGCATCTTATGATAATTAATTTTATCATTCAAGTGATTGCTGTCATTAATGCTAGGAATGGAGGTGGAAATTTGATGTTAATTGATACTTGCCTCATCTGGATGTTGCACAATGGAAATGGCTCAGTGTCTGACAGCACTGTCAGTAGATGGCAGTAAATGATAATGGGTAAAGCAGTTCATGCAGCAGTGAAATGCTGTAACTCTTAGGTCAAGTCAAGGACACTAGGAAAATACCAACATTCCTGTTAGTCATAGTGCAGCTTTCTACCTGGCTCACAGTCTTGGAAAAGCATGCAAAAATGTTTTGTATTCTCTGAAAAAACAAACTGTCCCCTGCATGGTCCTGCTTATAGTAGTAGGTGATGGAGAAGAGAGAAGCCCTCTAAGATGAAAGCTGAATTTGAATTTGTGGTGTAAATCTTATTTTACAATCACACAATTCTGGTTCAAGATGAGTCAGGTGAAGTGTGATTCTGCTGGGGTTCAGTTTTCACAACACCCAAATGTATTCTGCTAAAATGAGTTGCAGTAAAATACGGAATGAAAGTCAAAGAACACTCTCAGGAATAATATGGAAGTGAGTCTTGGCTTCACCTTAATGCAGGAACATGTAATGTTAAAAAAAAAAAACAAACCTCCTCTCTCCTGTCTCATCTGTTCATTGCTTGAATTGTAGATATAGTTGAGATTTGTTGGTGTGTTTTCTGCCACAAACTAATTTTTTTTGTTGTACTGATAACAACCAAGGCTCTAACACAGGGTCATAGTGTCTTGAGGCAGATCAAAAGTTATCCTGCTTAAGTCAGTGCTGATGTTTTTTGAAATGGACATTTATTTTGCATTGGTCCTAGCTTCATCTAAAATTGTAAGACCAAAGGAAATCTTTGTGAATTGCCTGGTTTGACTTTCCATATAGCACCAATGTTGATTAACTTCTCATTCACATCAAATACTGTTCATTAGTTATCAATTCTCCCCAAGGCAGTAAGTCAGTGGAATTAGGTGTAAATTTTAGACATTCTGTATTGAAGGTTTCTAACACAGTTAGAATCAAACAGTATGAAGGGTAGTGTAAAACATGGTATTTCTTTACATGACTTAGAGTTGGTGGTTGAATTAACTTGTAAGGTCACTTTTCATTTCCCTTTTTATATCTTTTTTATTTTTGCTTAAGCCTAGAACTGTGTAAGAAAAATACAATTACGATTTGGTAGTGGTAGTTGCTTCAGATGCTCTGTGTCATGAATTGGTTAGGTGGATAAAATTGCTTCAGCACTGTCAGTTTGCAGATATGAGAAGCTGTGCAATCAGCTCTTCATTCCTGCTTTCCTGTGAAGATTTTCAGTGTCATGCACACATCTCTGTTCATAGCCATGTCAATTACATATCAGTGTCAATTACATATGATACACAGTTGTTTTCCAGCTTTTTTTTTTTTAAATCTTTTTTTTTTCTTCTTCCAACAGAAATCATGCGATCAAATGGATTCTGTTTAGCCAACACCGAAACAATAGTCATTGACCACAGTATACCTAATGGGAAAGAGAAGCACCTGGATGTAGATTCAGCAGAACATTTGTAAGTGGAGTTTGAACAAGAGCAATGTGGTCACCTTCACTATAGCTTTCCCACCCCCTAGCAAAATGTTGTCTGTCTAAGAGCAAGACTGGTACAGCTGTCATCCTGACTGGTGAAATGTTACTGGGCCTGATTGCTAACACTTGACAGCAATTTCCTGTTAAAGTGGGTAAAATGGGAGAATGATTGACTGCAGAGTGATCAATCCTCTGTGTATGAAAAAAAGAACTGAGATTGCTGTAGGGGTGCTGTGAAGGGAGACTTATTTCTTTCTCTCATGACTGTGATGAGAGCTGGTTTGAGCCCAAACTTGGAAACTCCAACAGCCTAACAAACAGCATACCCTGCTACAAAGGGTAGTAGAACATTTGGGAAGCAAAACACTGTCCTCAGAGGGAACACATGCCTTAAAGTAATTGGACAAAGGTCAACAGCTGCTCAGCTGGGACTTGGGGTAGCATGTGTATATCCTCAGGGAAAAGGCAAGGTGGATTGGTTTCATTGGAAAGTTCTGCCTCCTAATGAATGTAGGTATTCTGGGGTCATAAACCTGTAACCAGGAGGGCTTCAGTGGCCATAAACTAAAGCACAAGCAGCTCCATCTCAACATGAGGAAGAACTTCTTTACACTGAGGGCAGCAGAGCACTGAACAGGCTGCCCAGGGAGGTCACAGAGTCTCCATCTCTGGAGGCCTTCCAAACCTACCTAGACATCTTCCTGTGTCACCTGGTCTGGGTGACCCTGCCTTGTCAGACAGGTTGGAGTGAATGTTCTCCAGAGGTCCATTCCAACCCCAGCCATTCTGTGATTCCATGATTCATGTAAGTCTTAATTCAGTGACTGTATTCACAAATGGGTATTGATGGAAATATGCATCCTACAGATGTCTGCCATACCAGGTAATTGGTATTTCAATGAGCTTCAGATAGTGAATCATTTAAATATTTTTGATGAGAAATGTTGACCTACTTTTTCATTAGACCAGTTGAATGAAGGAAAGAGAATACTGAAAGACTTATTGAGCCTTTATCTTTGAGTGCAGTAATCTGTCTTGTCATATTTGAAATGCCAGTCTGTAACAAGATTTAGAGCTTGGCAACATTTTGGCAGGGGCTGGAGGGTGTATCTGGCTTCAGTATAATTTCTTGAAGTCTTTTTATTAACTTAGTGTTTTGAACCTTGACCTTGCTAACAGCATTTAAGCTTATAAGCTTTTAATAATGAGGCTGAAATGGCACACTAGAGCTTATTCTGTAAGGCCAATACCTGGAAATCAAAATTGTTATAGTTCACAGTGGATTACTCTTTGTACTGAAAGTGACAAATTATAGGAGAAAATTACCAAAGAAAGCATTTTCCTGCTTTATTTTAATTGTTTATTTTTAAAAATATTAAAAAAAAATATTTATAGCTAGTTTTGATTTTAAAAATGTGCTCCAGCCCAAGCAAAACTTACCAGCCTGGGATCAGAAACTACAAGCATCTAATTGTCATCCCACTGAAGTCAGAAAAGTCAGAAAATACTGATGTGATAAAAACTGAATGGCAGGAACAGTTTCCCATAAACTCTGGTGGAAGAAATGAATCTAGGGTAACAGCCTGACTTTGTGCAGCCTGACTTAGTTTAACTTTCCAAAGGATGTGAAGTCAAGAGTCAAAAAGTTAATAAATTTCAAATGTGTGTTTTATACAGTGCCCTAAATTTTCCCGTCCTGCAGCTGTATATTATAGCCAAGATATAATAGCCAGGAGATAATGGAGCCAGTGCAGCACAGCTGTTTTGTAAAAAATGAACCTTTTTCAAAAGCAGAGATTTTCTCTACTGTTGGTTTAAATGTATGTTATTAGCCCAGAAAGGAAACTTTAAAATCTTTCAAATCCTATGCTGTTCCCTTTCAGTCTCAGTAAAATTTGATTTATGGTGTGTTCTACCCTGAAATCAGAGTTAATTCCTTGTGGGCTTGATATCCTCAGATGGGAATTTTTTCCTTTCAGCTGCATTAAACACTTTATGACTTCTGGGTTTTGGTTGCTGATGGACTTGAATGAGACATTTTGCAGAGCAAACCTGTATTTTTTGGGAAGAGGTGCTTTACGCTTCAGCAGGAAGTGCCCATTCCCTGTGCTGGTTAGCTATGTAGCCTGCAGTGCCACCTGCCCAGTGACCCATCAGCTGAAAAGTCTCATACTTGTTGCAAAAGAAACCACAGCACTTTTCCACATTGCAGTTGCTTACTCTTGTTCTGAAGTAGGTCTTTTCTGCTTCCTTCCTTCCTTTTCTCTCTGATTTTGGTTGGCAGCACACCATACTATTGCAAACTGTGGTGAAGTCAGTGTGTCAGCATCCGTGTGGTGTAGCTAGTCCTTTTGTGTGTGGTTCTTGGAGAGTAGTCTGAAGTCCTTTTGAAAGAAAAAAGTGGTAAATAAATGCATTTGGACTGCTGCTTTGGTTTTGTTACAGAGGTGCCTTTCTCTGGCTAGACAGTTTGCACTTCTGTCTTCTAGGCCAGCAGCCCAGCCTGTGGGGGATTGGATAAGCTGCCTTTTTGGCAAATTCACTCCAGTACCTGAAGGAGGCCTGCAAGAGAGATGTAGAGGGAATTTTCATGGGGGCATGTGTTAGATTAGCTACTAGGAAGAAAATCTTTAGATAAGGGTTGTGAGATACTGGAACAAGTTCCCCAGGTTGTGGATTCCCCATCCCTGGAGGCATTCAGAACCAGGCTAGATGGGGCTCTGAGTAAACTGACCTAGTGGAAGGTGTCCGTGGCAGGAGGGTTGGAACTAGATGATCTTTAAGGTCTCTTCCAAACCAACCATTCTGTGATTCTATGAATGTATATTTTAAATACTTCCAGTGGTGGTGACTCAACCACTTCCCTGGGAAGCTTGTTCCAATGCTTGATAACCCTTTCAGCCAAGAATTTTTTCCTAATATCCAATCTAAACTTTTCCCAGAAGAATTCGAGGCCCTTATTTCTTGTCTGTCACTTATTGCTTGGAGAAGAGTCCAACCCTGCACCTGGCTGCCCTCCTTTCAGGGAGTTGTACAGAGTGATAAGGTCTCTCCTGAGCCTCCTCTTCTCCAGGCTAAAAAACCCCAGCTCCCCCAGCTGCTCCTCACAGGACTTGTGCTGCAGACCCCTCACCAGCCCCACTGCCCTTCTCTCAATGTTCTTCTTGCTGTGAGTGGCCCAGAACTGGACACAGGATTTGAGGTGTGGTCTCACCAGTGCTAAATACAGGGGGACAGTCCCTGCCCTGGTCCTGCTGGTCACTATTTCTGATCCAGGCCAGGATGCCATTGGCTTTCTTGGCCACCTGGGCACATGCTGGCTCCTGCTCAGCCACTGTTGACCAGCACCCCCAGGTCCTTTTTTGCCAGGCAGTTTTACAGCCACTCTGCCCCAAGCTTGTAGCTCTGCATGGGGCCACTTGTTGGGACACAAATGCAGGACCCGGCACTTGGTCTTGTTGAAGCTCATACAATTGGCTTCAGCAGATCAATCCAGCCTGTCCAGATCCCTCTGGGAAAGCCTTCCTGCTCTCCAGCACATTGTCACTCCCTCTCAGCTTGGTGTCATCTGCAAACTGACAGAGGGTGCTCTTGATCCCCACATGCAGACCATCACTAAAGATATTCAACAGGACTGGCCACAAAACTGAGCCCAGGAAAACACTGCTTGTGAAAGGCTACCAAACAGGTGTATCTCCATTCACCATCCCTCACTCTTTGAGCCCAACCACCAGTTTTTTACCTAGCAAGCCTGCCCAAATGATAAGCTCCTATGTTGTTACCTCTTCTTCCTGGTGAATCTGACTAGCAAACGTAATGCATTAACCGAGGTTAAAATGGTAAAGAATTTTGTCTTACAGTACAAGAAGTAGGCTCTTGAAAAAGACGAGTGTGTCTGTCAAGGTTCTTTGAGGGAAAAAATTAATGGCAGTGGTTCAGGAATCTGAAGATCCACAGTAGAGCTGCAGAATTTATTTTGAAAGAAAGACCTGCTGGTAACAGCACAAAAGCATTTTGATGGTTGGTGTACACAGCTAGAACATTTACTGTGGTAACCAGTCCTGGCTTATTGAGTTTGGTTTTGTATGAGCACTCCAGAGCAGTGCTTTGCAGGCTGCTCTGCACACAATTCCTTTTTGGTGGCAAGAAAAGCTTTCTACTTAATCGCAGCATCTGACTTCCAGTGCTTTGGACCTCATGTTCTGCTTGTAGTAACCTATCAGTGAGGCTGGAGAACCACAAAATCTGTGGGACCTTTCATAGGTAATAATGTAGCTTCATGCTGATAAGAGAAAGAGACCAGAATCTGAATAGCCTTCTTGACTCCTCTTCCGCTTTCTTCACTCTATCTGTCCCACTGGTATTTCATAATCTGTTGTTTCTGGATGACTTGCAGTCCATAAGACAGCACAACGTGATCTGTGAAGTGTTTGCAAGAAACTAAGTCAACTCCCTTGTGCACACGTTCCCACACATGCAGGCAAGTAAACAGCCTGGAGGGACTGGAAGAATGAAGCTAATAAACATTCAAAGTTCAGCCTCATTGTTGTTTCATTTAAAGTGAAGAGCAAAGCAACAGCACCGCGTGAGAAAATCCATGAGTTTCTGCTCAAAAAAAGTCTTCTATTTTGGGTCTCATAGTTTAAAAAAAAGAGATGGGTAGGACCAGGAAGGAGAGTGGAAAAGATAGAACTGTGGCCATACATTGCAAGATGTATAGACCAGGCTATCCAATAACCCATGATACTTCTAAATAAAATTTTGGGAAGAGATGGGAGTGGGAGACTTACCAGTTTTTTTATCCTACCACTCTTCTTCAGCTCCTCTGAAATACTTAACTCTTGGGTCACTCTCTAGGGTGAGGTTAGAGGGATGTCTGCAGTTGTTTCACTTATCTAAATAGTCTAACTAGGTCATGTGTAGATGAGATGCAGTTTTAAATATTAATTATTTTAAAGCTCATATGTTTATCTGCCATTTGGAGAGCTGCAGTAGGCCAGCTAGGCTGATGAAGGTCTTGGAGACACGTGCTAAAAGTGAGAGCTAGGTTAAAATTTCTTTTTCCATCTTGTGCAATTTTCTGCAGTTTCTACCTCCTTTTATTTCTCACTCTGTCATAATGAATGACATTTCTTTCAAGATGTTAAAGAGAGTTTGAGCAAAAGAAACTTTATGGTTTTTCAAACCCCGTTTACAACTTAGGTGAAATTTAGTCCTTGGCCTGCAGTGACTGTCTTTAACTGCTCGACTATCTAGGAAGAAGATAATGTTTCTTACCATAGAAATTCAAGCCTTCTTGGAATGGGAATATGTGTAACTGAGAAGTGTAGGTTTTAACAGCTTGATGACTTCTAGTTGAGAGTAGGTATGAGACAGTAGGTAATTCTTGCAAGAGTTCACGTTATGAAACAGGTGTTGGGAAGTGGGGAGGAAAATACCAAAACAAGTGAAACTAAATTTCAGAATCTTTTTATATTTTGAGATTCTTTGATTGTCAAAATCTAAATCTTGTACCATGGGAAGGACAGCTAGACTCTGGAGGAAGGACACTGTCGTCATTTTTTGCTACCTATATTAGACACTTGGCCTCTTACAAAAGCCAAACGCAGAGAAGGGGCCTGTGAAGTGAAAGGCTGAGTCCAAATTCAGATGGGAAACAAAGGCAGTTTCTTTTTCGCTTTTATGTGAGAACTGAGGCATTTTGTGTTGTTGACACATGCTGTGGGAACAAAATAGAAGGATGTGGACTTCAACTCTTCTTCACTCTTCCAAGACTCATTTGCTTTTTCCTTCCTTCCTTCCTCACTAGTAGCTTTGAAAGTCAGGGATGACAAGATTACCTGCTTGTGTTCACCATGGTTCTCACTGGCCCATGGTTTACTCATAAACACATGAGTATAGGAGGAGAAGGAGGCGTGGATGAAATCAGGTCCAAGTGCTTCTCTCACTCCCTTAGTCCTTTTTTTCCAATTCCTTTGATGTTCTAAATGACTTAATGCCTTTTGGTGGTTTTTTTTTCATCTTTCCTTAGGTTCGAAAGTGTTAGTGACTTTACCTCAGAGCTGGAAGACAGTGATGATCCAACAGCCTATGTTACCAATTTGACATACTACCACCTGGTCCCATTTGAGACTGACATTCTGGACTGAGGCTGCTCGGGGATGCAGTCAGCCAGCATCCAGCCAACCTCTTTGTCCATAGGTTCTGCTATCTCTGGCATTGCATCTCAGTGAATAAGGCTGTGCAGCCAAGACCAACAGCAGGGAAGATCCAGCAAGAGCGCCACAAGGCTGGTTTTATAAGTGTGGTCCTCTGTTGTGTGTTATGGAGACATCTTGTAAGGAGGAATCTGCTTTGCTGCTGAAAACAAACTCACTTTCTGTGAAAGCAAGGCAACAGAGGCTTCCTGGGGATCGAGGAAGTCTCTGCTATGTCTGTGGGAATTGCCACCCTGACACAGCTGTCAGAAACTTGTGCTGAAGCAGGCACAAGTCACCCGTGCTCCTTGTGGTGCAAGTTGAGTTCCCCTTTTAGGATACCACCAGAAACTTCCTCAGATGGCGTGACCACACTTTTTATGCTTTGTAAGCAAGAAGACAAGCAAACCAGCTGAACTTTGTCAGTTCCCTCTGCAGTTGCTTAATGGAGGTCTCGTGGGTCGCTTTTTGCTCGGCTACCGGATGATTGGTGCCTTACACGAGATGTCAGAAATACCACTGAGTGCCTCCAGGAAACAGAACACGTGAGCTGACAGCTTTACTTCTTTTAATCATGGGCTTTTGTATAATCACTGAAAGGCTGACTGCTCTTTCCTGGAATAGTAAAGCAGGCAGCAACTGGCGTTGCAATGAACTGTGCATGATGTTGGGGTACCCAGATGATTTCAGAGTTCTGGAAACCGATGGAAAGCTGAGCTGCTCCACCAAGAAGGGTCAAGGCTATGGCAGGCACTTTGATAATATTTTTTGTTTTCATGTGGACCAGCATATGTGAATGATGCTTACAGACGTTTACATCAGAGAGATGATTCCCTATGCATATTTCTTCCCAGAGGATGGGAAGGAAGACACTGAGATTTATGTTGTGTTTGGACTGAAAAGAATGATAAGCTGCAGTGTGCCTACAGTGATAGGAAAAACAGTCTCTCCACTGCCACCCTGTCTCAAGGAGTTTGTCCAGTTTTCTGAGATCTGCCTGGAGGGGTCAGGTACAGACCTCCTTGTTGTGTAATGCCATGGATTTCAGCAGAGATAGGACAGTGGGAGCAAGAGTGTGAATGGACCCTGCAGCCTCTTTACTATTGAGTAGTGCAGTGTTAAAGTCTCCTTGGGGTCTCTCCCTTGCAGAGCACCCTGAATTCCCGGCTCTCACTGTGAGTGCTCAACGCTCACCAACATGACCTTTCATTGAGCTTTTTGCCATCTGTTTGCAAATATTATTTTGAAGGGACTGAAATGGAAAGAAATGCATTTTTGGACATGTTTCTTGGAAAAGAGGCTTGTTTGGTCCTGAAGAAGCTGATACAACTCCACAACTCCCTTCTGCAGACTTTTCATTTCTATCTATAGAATAATGGTCAAACAGAATTTGTTAATGTAAATAATAAATTATTGAGAATCCTAATTCTTTTACACAATATGTTTTTAAAATATATTTTAATGAAATAAAATATAACTCACCTTCAGTACACTTCTGCAGCTTCAAATAGTGTTATTTGGTCTTATTTTGAGTACACTTTCTCAGATATGTCAAATCCTCTTTCTTTTCCCCACAGTTTTTGAAACATGCTGAGTAATAGCAATTCCTGTGCTCCACATGCTACTCATGCTGTAAACATGGTGTGTATCCACATGAAACCTCTGCCTAGATGTTGATCTTGGGTCTCGGTGTATGTGGTTTAATACAACTCAGCTTAGTGGAGGATTTTGCCATTATTGTTTTTGAACATGAAGCAGATTCTTATAAGGTAAATTTCTATAGTAGAAGGAAATATGTTCTCACTCACTCAGACTTCCTGAGCAGCCTCTTGAATTAGAATTGGGAATAATTTTCATTTTATTTGTTTCACTCTCATTAGTTTTAATTCTTCTGCTAGTGTTCTTAGTTAACCGAGATGAAGTAGAAATAGCATCTGGTAGACATGTGTATTGGACTGGATATTGGAATATTTTATTTAAATTCCTGACCTTGTTGTCAGCCTACCATGTTGCTTTGGATAATTCTACTTCATCTCCCTGAGTTTTCCTTGACTGATATTTTGGAAAGCAACGTCATTGGCTTTTGATGCAATGTTGTCCCCTAATTCATTTGAATTTTCCTATGAATTATTGACCACATGGTAACTACTTATCTTTTAAAGCACTTTAAATTGCATATATTAAAAAATAAATAGGTAAGTACTGTGAATTTTTAAAATGTACAGCCACGTTCCTCAAATGAAAGCCAGCTAAGCCATGTGCCTTTCCAGTTTGTCAAGCTGAATGTCAGGGCCCTGTGAGGGTCAGCAGAGCAGGGGCTCCCATGGGGCTGTCAGAGCAGAGCTGGGCAGCTGGGGCCTGTCCCACCACCCTGCCAGGAGCAGGGCCCAGGGCAGCATCAGGCACCTCTCTGAGGATAAGAGTGGGCCAAGGGCAGGCCAGGATGTGGCTCTGCTCTGGGGAACGGGAGAGGAGCCCAGCTATGGTGTTGCTGGAGCAGGGACTGGGGGCCTGACATGGGAACCTGGGCCACGAGTGAGTGGCTCAAACCCAAGGATCAGTAGGGACAGCCAGACCTGCTTGTGCCCTTGGGGCTCAGATTCTGGATGGTCAGGATTCTTGTCATGCATGTTTTGGAGTACATTTATTTTTGACAGGTACCCTGTCATTCTGGGGACATGAAACAGTGGAGAATTCAGTTCTTGATGCATTACTGTATAAAAAAAAAAACAAAACCAAAACCCAAACATCAAAACAAACAAACAAAAAATTAAATCAGTCTTTCATTATGTAAGGAAAACGTAGCTGAAATAAAATTTCATGTTTTAGATTTCTTAACTGGACCTTTCCCATGTGCACTCATTGCAGTTGGTAAAATCCTCCATGTCCAGTGCTGTGTGCTGGTCTGTGTTTTCTCTGCAACTTTGGCTTCTGCCCTTGGCACATATCGTGGGGATCATGTGTACCAGTCCTTGCTATGAGCTGCCTGAGCAGAACAGAGCTGAAGTGTGCTGGTATCTAGGGAAGGAGCAGGAGGTATGTGTCTCTTGGCAGGAGCAGCAATGACAAAATCATTTGGTTTTTATTTCTCAAGTCATGAAATATGCTGACATTATAGTGTTGCCAGATCTTAGGAGAGTTAGGGAAGAAAAAGAGTATCCTACTATGCTATGCTTTGTCCACCAGTCTCTTTCTCTTTGATTGCATCAACTACTTTTTAAAAACTCAGTCTTGGATTCCAAGTCCATTCTTCATAGCAGCAATAATCTGTAGCTCAGTAACAAACTTTAAAATAAAAAAGAACCTTTTCTAATTGCTTCCTGTAATATCCATTCCTGCTTCAGTCAGCTATCTCTGAACTCTCTTCCCTACACACACACAAATTATTCAGGCTGTTTTACTGATCAGATTTCATCAACGTAATTGCTTTCTTGTGGAAATATTCACACCCTGAAGTGCAGTTCTCAAGTTTTATAGCACACAGACCATTCCCATTTTCAGTGCCTTCAGATAATTTCTTCTTGCTCTAAACCCATTCTCATTCTAATTAACTCTGTTAGTAATACATACATTGGGGGATTTAGGTAGGGGCAAAACAACAAGGTAATAAACATAATATATCTAGATCTAAAAAATGGAGATTATCTAAAAGCAGAAGTAAAGATTGCTGGAATGCATTTATAATTGAGCTATATGAATTCAGACTTTCCTGGGCTTTCTCAAATGTTGTTATCATGCCTCTGTTTTTACAATTGATGCATATAACCCCACTGTGCTCTGTTGAGAGAAAGAATAGTTTGAACTTTGGTATCAAGAAGGGAAGATGGGACAGCAAGGATTGGCTGAGACAGAATTTTGCAGTGCTTAGTTTTTGTCCTAGCAGGACATCTAGCATGCAGTTGCCTTGCACTGCAGGATAGGAGTTGCTGCACAGGTTTGGGTTGTCATTTTTCACAGACTGCTATTAAGGGAACCTGCTCAGGTAAGGATTTACAGAAAAGCTCCTTATTTTCCGAAGATGCTTTGTCCAATTTTTCAGAGGAGTAAAGTTAATTTTCTGTTGTCCTGTGAGGCTACCTACATGACAGAACTGAAGGACTGTCTGGTAGGAAATAATTTCTCAGCTGCACAAGTGCCCACTTCTGCTAGAAAGTACTGGATTAGAGCCCAGCCCTGGCCTGGGCTGTGGAGATGCCTCTAACCATCCTTCTTTTAGCCCTCAAATTCTGCTAACTGTTTTCAGAGACTTTTAGGTAGAAATGACAACTGATACACTGGTGAGAAGAAAACCCAAATGTGAACAGGGAATCTTGATTAAAAGCATCCTAGCACCGGCTCTGTGTATGTGTTTTCCAGTGAACTTCAAAAACTAGAAGATTCTTCACTAAAATGTTTTACAACATCTGTTGGCACTCCGTGTAAAGCCTTGCATGTCCCTCTGGTACAGCTATTTCTGACACAACCAGGCAAAAAGCAACACTTGGACACAGCTGCAGTATGTGTGTTTGTAAGGTCTGTGAGGTGCTGAGCTTCCTTTGGATCCCCTGGCAACTCGCAGGAGGTTCTCAATTCCTTGTCCTCTCTACAAATCTCTGTGCAGTCACATCAAAATTCCTCCAGCGTTCTGGGGGTTCCAAGCAGCTTTGATAATTTCCATTAGTAAGTTAGCTCCATTTAGCATTGTAGTTCAGTTTGGAAACCATCTGCAAGTAATCTTGTTTAGCTGTATCACCTTGTACTGGGCAGGCTGGAAATAGAAATAATTACATGTACCAGAAGCCAACTTTGTTATGTAAAATGGGAAAAAAACACCATCAGCACCACCACCAGAAAATCAACCATTGCCTGTTATCTTCCTTTGTAGCCATTAAAATTAAGTTGACCAGATTCCATGGCTTTTTGAATGAACATGGGCTCATTTCATAAGAGAAATGTCCCAAATTTTGCCAAGTTTTCCTTTGTCTTGTGGAAGCTGGCTTCAGTGGTTGAGCACAGTGATAACACATGGTGCATCCAGCCATCTCAAAGTGACCTCCAGTGAGGAAAACAAGCAGTGGGTGTATGTCAAAGGGAAGACAGGAGGCACAGGGAAGGCTTGGAAAGCGAGGGAGGGAGAAATAAATGAAGGACTGTAATGCAAACAGAGGAGATCTTCAGGGATAGTCTCAGTCTTGAAGCTGAAATAATTCATCTTTTTCAGAGAGCTCAGGTCTGGCAGCATCCAGGTGCTGAATCATACTGTTCCTCACCTGGTATCCTGCAAGGAATGTTACCAGCCCTGGCTGGTTTTGTTGAAAGAAGGAGATGTTTGTGTCTGATCAGGTGCCTTTGTATAAAACGAATATGCTGAACTTTCTGGAAACAGACATTTTGCAGCAACAAAATTGATTGTGGTTCCCATTTTAATGCACCACACAGCTTGTGTAAATGGTTTAGGAATTCAGCTTCTGTATTCCTGCATGCTTCATGCTTCATATATTGCTCTGCATGCTTCATGCCCATATGTGTAGGAGTAAAAACGCAGATGGTTGCAGGTGATAGCCACGAGGGCCCTCACAGGCTTGGATTGCCCTGACCATCCACCTCACTTAGGACCTCACCCACACCATCCAACCAGGGGCTCTTCTTCAGCTCCATCCAGGACCTTTATCATTTTTAAGGTGGACAAGACCAGCTGCCTCTAGTCCTGCTCCTGAGTTGTCAGGATTCCCTAGGCTGCCTTCTGATACGAGCTGTGTCACGGCTGATGATCACTTGGGTGACTGATGACCACCCTGCCTCATTCACAATGAGTTCCCCTTATTATGATAATAATGATGATTATAGGCCTTGTCTTTACAAGCATCTCCTGATAATAGCATGATCTTTCCTGTTTTAGAGAAATACTTTCCAGAAATGTCTACAAAGACTATATGTCTGGGGATGTATTCTTTGTATAACACATGAGTTAAGAGTATAGTTAGCCTGTTCTGGATACTGCATTGATGTGATCTTGGCATTTAGTTGATAAAATAACATCAATTCACATGTAGCTTCCAAAAATAA